CTGGTTTCTTGAAGGAATTGCAGAAGCAAGGCTTCCATTTTTGTTTAGGGGCATTCATTTGCTGGAGTTGAATAATGAAAAATTTTAGTGGTCTTTCCTCTAGATGACTTCTCTAGGGTGTGAGCAATGTGGTTGGTCTAATTTATTAAATCTGAAGTGGACATGATGTCCCATTTCATCTTGATGCTTTTAATTAAAAGGGAAAGATCCTGGATCACTCCACTAACAAACATAGAGTTAAGGGGCACCTGGGGGGCTCAGTCAGTGAAGCATCTGACTTTGGCTCAGGTCATATCCCAGCGTCCTTGGATTGAACCCTCCCTTGGGCTCCCTGCTCAGCAGGGAGTCTGCTTGTCCTTCTCTCTCTCTGCCCCTCCCCCTGCCCATGCTTGCTCTCTCTCTCTCTCTCTCTCTCTTTCTGTCAAATATATAAATAAAAACTTTTTGAAAATTAAAAAATCAATATAGAGTTAAAAGCGACACAAGTACATTCAACATATAAAGGCTAGAAATTTCTTTAAAGACAATTGAAGTTGATCATAATCATCATGAAGGGAATAACTGGTCTTCTGTGTACAAGTCTGAATTTTGTTCCAATCCACAGGATTGGGAAAACCCATCATAATTGATTAGTGGGGCCTTTAGCAAGTTTTGTAGCATCTTGCCAAAAGTTACAGGTTTGTTGCTTTGGATTCTGTTCATGATGTGCCCATGGGGCTAGTTTCATCCAGTGTTTGACCTGGCCCTCACAGACAAGCATGTAGACCGATTGATATAAATCTGAGAGACCACTTTGGGAAGTTTGAATAACTATGTTACATTCCTTATCAAACCTATTGGGATCCTCAGTCACTCTAGGGAACTTTAGGGAACTTCAGCTCAACGTTCAGCCTTACTCCTGGGAAAATAAGAGACTTTGGGTGCACTGAGGTCCTCAAAAGACTCAAGGAAGGCAGATTTTTAATAGATTCAGGGGAGGAGGTAGCAGAGGGAGCTTCAAAGGAAAAGGGAGGTGTAACTAAAGGATAGAATGAGAGTGGAGATTAGGATGGAAGAGAAGAAAGGAAGATTGCACTGGAGGCAGGGGCTGAGCATTAGCAACTGCCTAGAGGCAGTTGACAAAGAAGGTAGGGGAGAGGAAGAAGAGTTCCCAGAAGCCCCTTTTCATTTTTGTAATTATCTGCTTACCTTATTTATTTGAAAAAGTGTAGGTTGTCATGAGGCGATATTATACTCCTGATAGCGTTTGAAACCTTCAAAATACCAATTAAAATAGGAAACCCATTTAATGTTGTCAATTTTAGAACCATGGTTGTCCAACTTATCTTTGATAAAAGTTCCTTTGGATGGGGCATCGCGGGTGCCTCAGCAGTTTAGCGCCTTCTTTGGCCCAGAGTGTGATCCTGGAGCCCCGGGATTGAGTCCCATGCCAGGCTCCCTGCATGGAGCCTGCTTCTCCCTCTGCCTGTGTCTCTGCCTCTCTGTCTCTCTCTGTCTCTCTCTGTCTCTCATGATTAAATAAATAAAATTAAAAAAAAATAAGTTCCTTTGGAAAGATCAAAGAAGGCAGTTGTGGCCATTGAAGTTTTTGATTACTTCCGGTTAAGTCAGTCCATTTCTGTTCAAATGCCCATGAGGAGGGAAAGTATTTTTCAAACATAAGTGTCTCTTGCTTCAGTTGGAATAGAGGAGTAGTATCTATAAGTAAGATCAAGGCCATAGAAGATCAAGCCCATCTCTTCCTGCTGGGTTTGCAATTGACTACCTGTAGTAGGGCAGAAAAGCTCCTTGCCTACTCCATTTTAGTGAGGCATTCCATTACTCATTTTCACAGTTGGAAGGGAAAATTTGCTTTGTTCAGGTGGTTGGCAGATGGAGACCATGGTGCATTTATGTCCAAAGACACTCTATTAATCAGACTAAGCAGGAAGTCCTTCAGGGGAAGGCACATAGGAGTAGTGAGCATTGACATGCAGGGGAAGCAGTGCTGCAGTGCTTAATCGTTCTTGGTATGATCTCAAGGAGACCTGCTGGCATCAGGGAAGGCCACTTTCTAGTACGGTCAAACTTGATCTTCCAGAAACATGGGGCTCCTTGTTTCCCCCACATCAGAGGTCTGTTGAAATCTCAAGAAGCTACAGTGAGTCAAGCCTTCAGCTAGAGAGCATAGCGGAGTGAGTGAGACTTATGTAGTCCGGAATGCTCGGCAAAGCTAGAGTCTGAGAAAGTCTACATCTGGAAAATAACATAGATATTTGATTAATGCAGTATATATTGAGCTTTTACTCTGTGCACACTCATGATATATTCCTGGGACCTTAGGAACATGTAAGTGAGTTAATCCTCATAATACTTTAGTTATTTCTCATAATGCTCACAGTTGGTACTAAGTGTTTCATATTTTCCCTGAGACTGTAGATACCGAGCTCCGCCTTTCTGTTTCTTTTTCTTCCTTAACATTGGTTGTATAAAATAGGAGCTAAATATTGATTCGAGAAATATACAAAAGCATAAACCAGAACATCTGAAGAAGTTCTCATTATTGACTAAGAATCAAATTGGCATAAGATAAACAGGGAAGTCAAATTTAAACCATACATATGGATACTCCCCACAGAACGGAGTGTTGCAAAGACTGGCAAAGTAATGGATATATGTCTTTGAGAAGAAGAAGGTTGAAGTCTGGGAACTCCATGGGAAGAAATTCAACTCACAGGGAAGAAGAAAACGAGGAAATATTTGATAAAGAAATATTATCTAGGCCACTCAAAAACAATAGGCCATAGAGAACTTTTCTCAAACAGGCCTAACTATGTTCCTCCCTGTTTCTCAAACTTAGTTTATATAATAATGTAGTTACATATGGAGATAGCTTTCAGCCTGGGATAGGTTCTCTCTCTAAATTCTTTTTAGTCAGTGAAGGGGGTGAAAAAGACATTTCCTGAATCTGCCCCATTTGATTGCTTTTTAAATCAAAATCATCTTTCTGCCAAAGTGGTCCATCATGGAGCAGTCTGGGCTTGGCCCACACTAAATGGAGGATATTTTGTTGGCATAAATAAACCACACACAGAAAAAAAAAATTTGGTATGGAATCTAAAAAAAGGTTAACATCATCAAAGTGAGGATGAGAAGTTTGCTGCCCTCTACTGAGAGTGAAGGAAATGTTGAGATATTGATCAAATGTTGATTGAAAGTTAGTAACTGGAACCCTCACTAAAATGGAGTCAGGAGGTTTTCAGCAGAGGGAGATCTGAAGCCCTATCACTCATAGTCAATGGCAGTTCCAACAGGAAGGGATGATCATGACCTTACCCAAGCCTGACCTTGGAAGCGGTTTATACCTACTATTGTATAAGTACCGCGCACTAACCGATTGCGCCACTGGAGCACCTTATACCTACTATGGCAACCAAAGGAAGAGATGCTTTTGTTATCCTTCTCAGGCAACAGCCTCACTAGTGAAAACCCACCGTCCTTCAAACCATTTTACCAGGAATAATTTTTATTCTGTAACAGACTTCTCAACTTAAACCTTGTCTCCTCAAACCAAGCTCGCCTCTCTTTGTTCCCTGGACTTGCCTATGGTTTTGCCACAGCTTGTATGTTCCTATATGCAATTCTCTGTATTCCTGAATAAACCCACCTTTGAAGGGGATCCCTGGGTGGCTCAGCGGCTGAGCGCCTGCCTTAGGCCCAGAACGAGAATCTGGACGCCCAGGATCCAGTCCTACATCAGGCCTCCCTGCATGGAGCCTGCTTTTCTCTTGGGCTGCATCTCTGCCTGTGTGTGTGTGTGTGTGTGTGTGTGTGTGTGTGTGTGTGTGTGTGATAAATCAATAAAATATTAAAAAATAAATAAACCCATCTTTTGGTGAAAAAATTATAGGCAGTTTTTATTTTTTTAAGAAGAATTTATTTATTTACTCATGAGAGACAGAGAGAGAGAGAGAAGAGAGAGAGAGAGACAGAGAGAGAGAAAGGCAGAGACACAGGCAGAGGGAGAAGCAGGGTCCTGGGATTCAGTCCTGGGTTGGGCTCCCTGGTAAAGGAGGAGCCTGCTTCCGACCCTCTGCCTCTCTGCCTGCTCCTGGTCTGCCTTTCCATTCTCTCTCTCTCTCTCTCTCTCAAATAAATAAATAAAATCTTGAAAAAGAAAAAGCAACAGAAGACACAGGAAAAGCGGTGACACCCAACGTTTCTTTAAGTAAGAGATATTTGCATTTGTAAGGGAAAGGTCCTTTCCTAAGAGTATCTCCCTTTGTGTAGCAGGAAGAGGGAGAAGGTGTAAATCTTAAGAAACTCTTCTCAGTGAAGAAGGCGTGCATTTAAATCTGGTAACCCCACAGCCAGGGTTGCGGTGCTTTGCCGGATCACCCCCCAGATGTTTCCTGGGGTATCAAAATAGATCATCCCCGGACGCCTGAGTGACTCAGCAGTTGGGTGTCTGTCTGCCTTTGGTTCAGGACGTGATCCCAGCGTCCCAGTATCGAGTCCCACATGGGGGTCCCTGCGAGAAGCCTGCTTCTCCCTCTGCCTGTCTCTGTCTCTCTGTGTCTCTCTTGAGAAGTAAATAAAATCTTAAAAAAAAAAAAAAAAGTTCTTCCCCCTCTGATTCTGTCAACTGATGGTGGAAACAACAGTGTTGTTTTAAGTCAGTGCTCCAGGTGATTCTAAGTGAGGCCACAGTTAAGCAGAAAGGCTTCCTTTTAATTTCTGAGAATTGAGAGCAGGCTTCCCCTTAGGAGAGGTAATGGTCTCCACTACCCGAGTCAGGGAGGATTAGGGCCACAGCACCCGGGACCTATGCTGTAGCGGACTCCGTGAGCATCTGGGGGAGGGGAGGGCCCCTGGAAGCAGAGAAGGAAAAATCAGTTCCTGATTTCCAACTGGGAGTTCACAGCTTCTCAACAGCTCCAGGCCCAAAGGACTAGGAAGTTGGGCTTTTTGTGCATTTCAAAGTCCTGCCTGCAGGGGAGCAGTTTCTAGGTGGAGAGACCCTGTGGCTGGCTTTAAAGGGGTATTCTCCTGATGCAGCTGTGATTTCTCCAGGAAGATCTTGTGAGAGAGCACGCCAGAGGGCCAGGTGGAAGGAGCAGAAATGGCGGGGTCTCAGGTAAGCCTCGTGTCCCAGGTTAGAGGCCGCGTTGCCTTTTTTGCCTGAGATTCCCTGCATTTGGAGATTGCAAATGTTGACTCCCCTAGCTCTGATATTTCTGCCTCGTGGTTTCACTTATTTTTAAAAACCTTTTCAAATATAATACTCAAGGTTCGATGTTAGAGCACTTCTCCCCATCACCTCCTTTCCCTTCTCTCCTACGGGGCTTCCAATAAGCCACCAAAACTGTATTTATTTTTTATTTTTAAAGATTGTATTTGGGGGATCCCTGGGTGGCTCAGCCGTTTAGCGCCTGCCTTCGGCCCAGGGCTTGATCCTGGAGACCCGGGATGCAGTCCCGCATCGGGCTCCCTCCAGGGAGCCTGCGTCTGCCTCTGCCTCTGCTTCTGCCTCTGCCTGTGTCTCTGCTCCTCTCTCTCTCCCTCTCCCCCCCCCTCTCTTTCTGTCTCTCAGGAATAAATAAAATATTAAAAAAAAGAAAATAAAATTCTAATTCACATTGGACTTTGATAAGTACATTTGTAACCCACCAAAATTTTCCACCTAAGAAGTAAACACAACTGTGGGTGGCTGGGTGGTGAAGTCGTTAAACATCTGCCTTCAGCTCAGGTCATGATCTCAGGGTCTTGGGATCCAGCCCTACACTGGGTTCCCTGCTTCACAAGGAATCTGCTTCTCCCTCTCCCAACCTGTTTGCACTCTGTCTGTCTCTCAAATAAATAAATAAAATCTTGAAAAAAAAATAGATACAACCTATAACGCATGATATAAATTACAGTACTCAGGAATTTGTTATGCCTCTGTTGACACCTTTATTTATTTATCTATTTATTTATTTGTTTGTTTGTTTGTTTATTTTAAAGATTTTATCTATTTATTCATGAGAGACACAGAGAGAGAGAGGCAGAGACACAGGCAGAGGGGGAAGCAGGCTCCATGCAGGGAGCCCCATATGGGACTCGATCCCGGGACCCTGGGATCATGCCCTGGGCCAAAGGCAGATGCTCAACTGCCCAGCCACCCAGGTGTCCCAACACCTTTATTTTATAAATTATCTTGGATAAACATACAGTATTTATAATGGTTTTCTGAATCATATGCCATCCTCTTATGTCAAAGTTGGACAATACATTAGAGCATATTACTGTGGTAAACATTATCTTAGTGCGTAAGCAGAAAGCTGACCTAAGCCAGAACCAGTTCTAATATAACTTCGCTAAAAGGAGTTCACTCCTTGGGGAATCACAGATAGAAACTACACCAGGTAGAGTTGTCACACAAAGGAAACTTGACTTGCAGCCAATACGGAGATCATAGAGAGTAACTTCCCAACAAGAGACTCCCAGAGCCAGAGGGAATGATTTCCTTTTATTTAGGGTTAGGGTAGATATATAGAAATTGGAGCCTTGTCATCCTTATGTAGAGCTAAGTATAAGGTGGCATGTGAAGCTGAGGATAACAGTTCTATATGTACTTTGTTATATAAATGAGGTTTGTGCTTCTCCTTGAGTGGAGATTTTAGTATTATAATGAGTTAAAAGCAACTGTTGGTCATTCCATGGGTCACTGCTTGGTCCAACTGCATAATTGTGAGTCAGGGGTTAAGCTAAAATTGGCCCGGGGCCAACGTTTTTCACAGGGGAGTTAATCCTCTTTTGCTGGATAGTTTCTGTTTCCATCACAGGAGTCTATGCCTGAAGTAAAAGATTAAGGTAGAAAGAAGAGGCTAAGAAAAATATGGGACAAAGAGGGTACAAGCCCATAAGCAGTAAGGGTCAGATCATGGGATCTAGCTGGTGACATTTAACTCCCTCTTTCATCTTAGGTACTTTGTGAACTCAGCCTGTGGCCCCTTGGTAACTGTGGTATTTATTGCAGGGACTGCTGACATTCAGGGATGTGGCCATAGAATTCTCTCAGGAGGAGTGGGGATGCCTGAACCACACTCAGCGGGAACTGTACAGGGATGTGATGTTAGAGAACTATGGAAACCTTCTCTTCTTGGGTGAGGATGACTCCTTCCAGGTTTCCCAGACCACACTCTGGGTTTTCTTCCTTCCTTTGAAGACTGACTCTTAGAAGATTCCTCTGCATGACTGGAATTCGGATCCATGCAAACAGGGAAATAAATGGGGATTTGTAGATGTGGAGAAAGATCTTCATGTTTCCTTTTCAGCTCTAGCTTCCCCTTCCTTTTTTAAAAGACATTTTAAAAAACATGTTATTTATTTATTTATGAGAGACAATACAGAGAGAGGCAGAGACATAGGCAGAGAGAAGCAGGCTCCATGCCGGGAGCCCGATGTGGGACTTGATCCCGGGACTCCAGGATCATGCCCTGGGCTGAAGGCAGGCACTAAACCGCTGAGCCACCAGGGGTTCCCCCCTAATTCTCCTTCCTTAAGGAGCATCATCATTTCTGTTGATGAATGTCAGTACTAAACATTGACAGGCATCAAATGGTACTGCCGCATTTTAAACTCCAGTTTATTTATTATTATTGTATCTAGTACTTGGAAGTAGAAGCCATGATTTGAATATTTGAAACTCCTTCTGCTTGTTCTTTTTTTAAAAAAAAAAAAAAAAGATTGTTTATTGATGAGAGACACACAGAGAGAGAGGCAGTGACACAGGCAGCGGGAGAAACAGGCTCCATGCAGGGAGCCCAATGTGGGACTGGATCCCGGGTCTCCCAATCTCACCCTGGGCTGAAGGTGGCGCAAACCACTGAGTCACCCGGTGTGCCCTCCTACTGGTTCTAAAGGTGCTGTTGGTCAGTAGCATTTGGGAAGGTATTTTCTATAATTTTACACTGTCCTGTGGTGTCTACTGAGCATGATACTTGATTGAAAATCTCCAGCAATACCCATTTTCCTTTTTCCTAATAACCAGGCCTCATTGTGTCAAAGCCAGACCTGGTCTCCTTTTTGGAGCAAAAGAAGGAGCCTTGGAGCCTGAAGAGAAAGAAGAGAGTAACCATCCATCCAGGTAAGTGGAAATGAATGAGGCAGATGACAGAGGTGCGGTCCACATGTGAAGGAGGAAGAGAGACCTTAAATTGTGGTTGGAGTAGTTCTCCTTGAATGGATACACTCTTGAGAAACCTAGTTTATATTTTTCTCCCTGTCACAGAGGGACATGTGCTATCCAACATTATCAAGCTCTTAGCTTCTCTAAGGATTCTCCTTCAGCTCCACTGATGGCCCATCACTTCCACAGGGAGGGCCAGGAGACTCCCCTGGGAGTGGGAGGGTCTCCATGATCTGAGAGGTTCTCCATTGCTGTGAGGGTCCTGGGGAAGTCTCCCTGTTTCTCAGGATCCATAGCCTTAGCCCTTTGTAAGTTCTGTTTTTGCGTCGTGAGAAGCATGTTGGGGTAGTGGTGGGCATACTGAGGTTTGGTGCAGAAATCCTGGGAACACTGGAGACAGATACCCCGTTTTCTGGCTTATGCATTCCAATGTTATGGAGGCTTTAATCTTGATTGTACAAAATTGACACTCAGGAATTTCATCAGAAAACAAAGCACCTCCCTAAAATAAGAAAATCTAATCCTTTATTTCACTTTGAAAGTTAATTTTTTCTTTGTATGAACTGAAATTAGGATATAACAGTGTGTTCCATTCCTCAGTGGTGTAATAATATAATGTATCTGTTTGTATCCTAGAATTCCTACCTAAATTAATGCCATGGGGGAGCTAGAACATTTAGACCTTAGAACTTGAAGGCTATAATAAATTCTCAATTTTTACCTTCTTTCTTAATACTTGCATCATTGTATGAATTTGTCTTGTATGACAGAAATTTCTTTTTATTTTGTCAAGTGTGTTTTCACTTTCTTATTAGTTATATATGAGATTCATCTGTTATTCATTAGATCAAAAGTTCTGATATGACATGGGCATGTGAGGTAGAGGGATGTCTGGGTGGCCAGTCAGTTGGTCCCAGGTCAGGATCCTGGAGTCCTGGGGCTCAGCCTCTCCCCATTGGGCTCCCTGCTCAGTGGGGAGTCTGCTTCTTCCTGTGCCCTTCCCCTGCTGTGCTCTCTCTCTCTCTCCTTCTCTCTCAAATACATGGATAAAGTCTTAAAAAAAAAAAAAAAAGCAGTGAGGTGGAGGTATAATTCGTATAATTCCTGTATTTTAAAGAAAGCTTTTGTTCATAAATGTAATTTTACTTCAGTGAAAATTAGTCATTGGGTTTTTCTTCTACTTTCCTTGGAATATATCTGAATTTAATCCCAAATATGTATTTTATGTGTAGTGGCCTTTAGCATATTTTGCAACTTTCTTGGTGTTTATTTAGAAATGAAGATGTCGTTTATTTCCTTGGTTCTAAGGAGTGGGTTGTAGCCTTAAATTCTCTGTTCAAGGAGGGATATATTAATAAAATAATACATTTGTGTAATGCCTTTTTAAGTGGTTGTTCGTATGATTTTCACTTACAGCTTTTAATGATTGATTTTAATGAATATTCTTTATTATACTGTGGTCAGTGAAAACCAGCCAATAATTCATGCTTGTTTTTTTTTTTTTTTGATACATAGAGTTTAAAATTAGTTTTATAGAAAGTTTCCTTGAGAATAATGCATCTGGTTTGTTTGTTTTTTGAAAGATTTTATTTATTTATATATTCATGAGCGATGGAGAGCGAGGCAGAGACAAGGGCAGAGGGGGAAGCAGGCTCCATGCAGGGAGCCCGATGTGGGACTCATTCAATTCTGGGACTCCAGGATCATGCCCTGGCCTGAAGGCAGTCGCTAAACCGTCGAGCCACCCAGTGATCCCGTATTTTTAATGCATCTATTTTATTTTATTTTAAATTTTTATTTATGATAGTCACAGAGAGAGGGTGGGGGGGGCAGAGACACAGGCAGAGGGAGAAGCAGGCTCCGTGCCCCGGGAGCCCGAGGTGGGACTCGAACCCCGGTCTCCAGGATCGCGCCCTGGGCCAAAGGCAGGCGCCAAACCGCTGCGCCACCCAGGGATCCCTAATGCATCTATTTTAATGTCGCTTTTCTAGCGTTAAATTTTGTCTTATTCTGGCTTTGTAATTCCATAACAATGTGCTTCCTTTTGTCTCGGACTTTCCACTACATTAGTTAGTTGTGGTTTTGGTTTTACTTGTGTATTTAGTTACACCATGACCATTTTCTTTTTCTTTTAATTTTTCCATAAGATTTTTTATCTATTCATTTGAGAGAGACAGAAAGAGCAAATGAGAGCATAGCACAGGGGAGGACCAGAGGGAGAGGGAGAAGCAGAGTCCAAGCTGAGCAGGGAGCCTGACCTGGGCTCAATCCCAGGACCCTGGGATCAGGATGTGAGCTGAAAGCAGACGCAGAACCGACTGAGCCATCCAGGTGCCCCAAGGATGACAGTTTGCAAGTACAGAGTTCAGAGACAGTCTGAAGGATCGTGACCATGATCTGACCCGAAATTAAGAGTCCGATGCCTAAAATGATTCCTTCCTCTGCTTCACCTCTGTAGTCTCTTTCTTGTTTGAACAAACACTCACCCTTTGTCTGAGCAGCCACGACAATGCATCCAGAGGGTGCTGTCGTTCCCTCTGCCTCCATGTCATGCGTGACAGAAACAAGTCCCTCAGGCAGCAGCCACGGATCCAGATCGCTGAACCTACGGGTCACTCGTTTCTTTCTCTCCTGAGGAGAGCTAAGAGTTTTTTCACAGGGTGGCCTTCGAGTGTCAGGGAGGGTGAGCTGCTGCTGTTGTGGGCAAGTGTCACAAACTTTCTTAGTCTCTTTGATGTGGCTCTTCTTCATCTCTTGACAATCTCTTTTTCAAAGCGTCTGCTGGGTTATTGTGCCTATTTTTTCTGTTTTGTTTTTTTTTTTTTCTTCAGGCTTTATAGATCTATATATATATATATTATGAGAATGGGTCCTTTTTTCCTTCTCTCACTCTATTTCTGCGTCTTGAGCTTATGATGCAGAGGAGTTCTTAATGTAATCCAGTTTGTCATTTCAAACTTTATGCTTGGTAGTTTTTAATCATTTTTAGAAATTTTCTCATATACTAAGACCACAGAGATAGAATCCTTTGTTTTTCTAAAAGCATCATAATGATCTATATAATATCAATCAGAGATGTCTTAAGAGTCATTGTTCTCTGTGTAGTGACGGAGGTTTTCAGTTTTTTCTTTTTTTCTCAACAAGGCTAACAAATTGAAGTATGTTCTGAAAGTGTTATATTATGGTTTCTTTTCATTCGCTTTCATTAGTCATTTCGGGCAGTCCTGGTGGCGCAGCGGTTTAGCGCCGTCTGCAACCTGGGGTTTGAACCTGGGGACCCTGGATCGAGTCCCATGTCGGGCTCCCTGCTGGAGCCTGCTTCTCCCTCTGCCTGTGTCTCTGCCTCTCTCTCTTTCTCTCTGTCTCTCATGAATAAAAAAAAAATCTTAAAAATAAAAAAGGTTGTGATATCTTATCAAACTGATGCATTTGCTTTATGGACCATTGTTGTTATTCCTTGATACCATATTGTGAGCTTGTGACCTGGACCAGCAATTCCATGATTTTCATCTACTCCAGGCACAAGCAGTAGGTCAGCTGTATTCATAATAAGATTAACATTTCCTCCCAATCTTCTTTTTTTTTTTTTTTTTTTTCCTCCCAATCTTCACCTCATTTCAGGGCCACCCAAAGAATTTTGTCCTTGTGATCACCTGTTTCATTACCTGATCTCATCATGTCTTTTATTGTCTATTTACTTTTTAATTTTTTTTGTTTATTAAATATTTTATTTATTTATTCATGACAGACACACACAGAGGGAGAGAGAGAGAGAGACAGAGGCAGAGGGAGGGAGAAGCAGGCTCCATGCAGGGAGCCCGACATAGGACTTGATCCCGTGTCTCCAGGATCCAGCCCCCAGGCTGCAGGTGGCAGCACTAAACCGCTGCGCCACCCGGGCTGCCCTTTTTTTTTTTTTTTTTTTTTTTTTTTAAGATTTAATATATTTATTTGACAGAGAGCACAAGCAAGGGAGCAGCAGAGCGACAGTTAGAAGCCAGCATCTGCACCAAGCAGGGAGCCTGACATGGGGCTCAGTCCGAGAACCTGGTTTCACAACCTAAACTAAGGCTTAACCAACTGAGCCACCAAGCGCCCTTATGTTGTTCTTTTTTTTATTTTTCTATGTTCTTGATATTTCTTGTTGATGGGGTGGTGAACGTCTCTGCCCTAAATCCTATGTGTTTCCCAATTCTCAGCCATTTTCTTGTAATGAGGCATGATTCCACTGTTTCCAGGACCTGCTCTGCCTGGGTTAGAAGTACAAGATCTGTCATCAACTACATGTAAATTAATATGCTTCTGCACAGTTTAGGTGTTTCTTCACACATCTCCCTTGCAAGTTCACTACAGAAGTTTAAGGTAGACCTTCATGAGTACTGGGATTTGTCTACGTGGTTGAATGCAAGCCCCACAGGAACAGTGCAGAAGTGAATGTTAGAAGTCACCCAATTCTTCTGCGTTGTATCCTGCCAATGATAGCCTTGAAAAATATTTCCTGATATAAACTGCTTTTTTCAAGTTCCAAAGGCTTTATTTGTTTTACAGAGAGGGTGTATGTGGATGGGGTGGGAGGGAGAGGGAGAGAATCTCAAGTAGACTTCATGCTGAGCACCGAGTGCAGAGTCTGTTGAGGAACCTGAACCCCACAACCCCTGAGATCATGACATGAGCCAAAATCAAGAGTCAGATACTGAACTGACTGAGCCACGCAGGCAACCCACTTGAATAGATTTATCCCAGATCCTGTGTCAGGCTAATGAGTGTTTGGTGAGGTGGTGCACATCTGGGAAAATTAGTCAGGAGACATGTTGGGGTCAGACTGAGTGGTGGATTTTGTTGGGAAATGATTCTGTGGGTTTAAGTTACTTTGTACGTTAAGGATAGAGGCACTGAAAGTGTGTTTATCCTTAATTGACTTTCCGCTGATGCGCGAATATTAAAATGCTTTGAAATATAGTGATAATATCTT